TGGGATCATGGTTTGTAGGGATTATTTGTGAGAAAAGCAACCTGGTTAAGGATATGTTTCTCCAGAAATCATTTATATTTGTGTCAACTGGATATCCATGAGAGTGCTAACAGCTTAGACATTTATGATGATATCTCTTCTTTATAGGGATTCCAGCCATCATAGTGTAAATTCCATCCTTAAACACTTGTGAGGACAAGTTTATGATTACAGACACTGATGGAAGATGTCCTCTCTGTGTCCTGCCCATGTACCCAATGCCGAGGTTCAGGGAGACAAGCTTCTTTTTTATCTTCCTTGTCAGTGGGTGTGACTGTAGCTTCTCTTTCATTCAGGGTATAACCCATTGAAAATACTGATTTTTATTTTAGGGTATCAATTCTAAATCAGTTTTTAGGAGGAAAGCCAAAGGCCTTTGTCTTTTGAACCTCTGAGGCCCCTGAAACCCAAGTCCCTGGTCACCAAAACATATTTTGTTACTTTCTGTATTTTAGCTTCTTTGTTTTGATTTCTGGGGATTTCCCTTATTTTCTTATGAAATCAGTTATGATTTTATAGTATACTCAGAATACTTTATCAAGAATTTATAGGTCTTTTGTTGTGGGATGTTGTGTATTTTGCTGTTTTGTTGAAAATGGAAGTCATCCCCAAATGACATCCTTTTGTAGTGTATTAGGATTTTCCTCGGTATCCTGTACTGATCATGTACAGATTGATTGCTAATCATAAATAATGATTGAATGTCCATGCTATTGCAAAGGATAATGTGTCAGATGGAAATGGATTTATCGTGTTTTAAATTTAAGACCTTTAATGGGGAAAAGGACAGAAAGAAAAAACCAACAATCAAGAATAGTAAGCAGTGCTTAGGAAAGCCATACCCAAGCAAGTTCCTCAGTTGGTTTTGGGAACGGGACAGAACTGTCTTGTGGCAGATAGATTGTTCAAAGTTCCCAGCTTTTGCAACTTATATGGAGGACAGTCTCGTGGATGTCACTTTATCATTGATTAAACCTCTAAAATTCATAAGAAGATATATAATGTTTTAACAGAAGTAAAACTTTGCTTTCCTCTTTTTTTTAAGATAAAAATCTTGGCTTGGAAATCAGGAAGAGAAAATAAATCTCAGGCTTACTTGCTTGTTCATTTTTGTCAACTTTTATTACTGTGACCAAATATCTGAGAAAAACTTAAATATTTATTTTGGCTTATGGTCACAGAAGTTTCGGTGTGTAGCAGGCTGGCTCCAAAGTAGAAACATCATGGAAGGTCATGGCAAAGGAAAGACGCTCACCTAAGGGCAGCAGGAAACAGAGAGAACCAGATGAAAGCTGGAGAGGAAGGGGCCAGGGACCAGACATAGTCCCCAAGATCATGCCCCTGACCCAGTTCACTAGGCTCCATTTCCTAACAGCCATTCAACTATGACCTCATCAATAGGTTGACCTGTTGATGAATTTAATGCCTTCACAGTCCAATCGCCTCTTTGGGTATCTCATAATCCAATCAAATTGGCAATCAAAATTAACCAACAAAACTATCACTAAATATTTGTTGACTGCCTACTACATGCCAGGTCCTGTGCCAAATATCAATGCTACAGCAGTGGGCACAGTATGAGGATCTGGTTCTAGGAAACTTCATTCCAAGAGCTAAAGCATTTTATAAATAATCACAGAATTAAATGGGCATCATTTTCCCTGGTGTCTGAAGTTTTGGTCCCAAGACAACCCATTACTACTACCAAAATTCACAGATGCTCAAATGCCTTATATAAAGTGTCATTTGACCTACATAATCCTGTACATCCTACTATAGACTTTAAATCATCTCTAGATTACTTATAATACCCAATTCACTGTAAATTTTATGTATGTGGTTGTGATGATATATTGTTTAGGGAGTAAAGACAAGAAAAAGTCCGTACTTGTTCAATACAAAAGCATGTTTTTTCAATGCTAGAGTTCAGGCCAGTGCCTTCTACATTCTAAGCAAGTGCTCTACCACTGAGCTCTACCCCTGGCCAGCAGGTGCAGTTTTTCCCCCACTGTCTCTAGTTGGTTGAAGTCAGGGATGTAGAACATGAGGGTATGGAGGAGGACTGACTGTACAAACAGATTGTAAAGCTATGATTAAATATTATAAGCAGAAACTGATAGGGAATAAGGATCAAGGCACACCAAAAAGTTTCTCTGAGGAAGTAAGTATGTGCAGAGACCCATAGTTTAGGTCTGTTAGTCAGGCCAATTGTTTATAAAAAAAAAATAGCTGAAGGAGCAGTGTGTATACAGCTTCTTGTTAGTCAGAAGCTTACTTGAGTAGGGACAGCTCGTCCAGCAGCTGCAGATAGATTGGAAAGTCATGATACTTTTGTGCAGTGGAGAACTACTTAGCTATAAGGAAGGAAAACCTTGGGGCTTTAGTAGGTAAATGGATACAGCTCAAGATCAAGCTCAGGGGTAAAAAGGTTCAACACCACTTAGGTAGATAATGAGTTGCCCCCTAATCTAAAAACTAAAGGAGTTAGTGGGACCCAAAATGTACAAAGCACCCTGAGAAAGGGAAAGGGGAGGAATTGTCTAAAAAAAGAAGGCAGAGGACATTGTTGATAGTGTATCAGGATTTAAAAGCCACACCGACAGCTATCCCCAAAATAGTAGGATATACTACGGTAGCTATCCTTAATTTCCTATTAACTTAAACTGAAACCCTGTATTACTTACACTGTCTTACTATGACTGATCTTATTTGAATCTGGTTTGTTAGATCGCTGTTTTGTCTTGACTGATTTTATTCAAATTTGGTATGCTTGATAGTATCAAGTCTAAGAGTAGAGGCAACTACTCTGAAGATGACAAGATGCAATAAAATACCCATTCCAGTTTGATTATTAACTGCTTTTGAAGTCCTATAATGTCTCCAATGTTGTGTTTTTATTAATATTGCTATCTAGTGCTATGTTCAATTATATTATGCCTGATGATATAGACAATTCTATTGAAAATAACAAGAGACAGCATAGTAACTACTATAGATCACCTAGTATTGTGGCTTTATATGTCTTTTTTGTTTCATGTTTTTCTAGGAATTTGTTTTATGGTCTTATTTTGATCTGTTTTTCCCTATAATACAGAAAGGATAGGTACATATGTAGAGATTCACACATGTGTAGAACTTCTAAACAGTTTACGAGAATAGATTAAATAATGCACAATGTAATGAACAGATACTCTGAAAAAAAGACACTAAGCTATCCAGTGCTAATTCTGTAAGGTTATGATATAAAATCTAGCAATACTATTATTCTCTGTTCAAAGTGATATTAGTCTATTTTCTTTCATTTAATTTCAGCATATGTAAAGATATGGACAGCTATTTCTAAGAGAACAAGAGACATTATGGCAGCCATTGTTGACTCCCCTATTGTCTGGTCTTGAAGACCTGAAATGCCTTCATCATCCTGTTCTGATCAGTTTAGTACCATATTATTCAGTATGTATTCACTGTGTGAAGATATGGACAACTATTTGGAAGAAAACAAGAGACAATATGATGGACAGTGAAGATCTCTGGTGGTCTTACTTTAAAATCTGTGTTTCTTAAAATTGTTTTCCTGTGATCTGTTTTGTTATGTTTAATTTTACCCTCTTTAAAATAAAAAAAAACTTTAAAAAAAAGAAGCTTGCTTGAAAAAGCTTCTGGAACTCTTGCCTCATAACACCTGCATTGGGTGATTCCTGGGAGTTTTACCCAGTGTTTTTCTAGAGTTGGATGGGCTGGCATTACAATTCCCACTTTCATATTAAAGATACTGAGGCTCTGAGTTATCGAGTTGCCTGCCCAGGTCACGCATTCTAGAGGGTGTGCTTGGTTGTTTAGGTAGCTTGTGAATATGGGTTTAGGTAGCTTGTGTAATTCCTCAACATGAGTAGTCTTATTTCAGGGTTCATTCTGGCAACTCATTGGACAACCAACTGAAGTGACGAGCAGTCTCAAAATCAATGGCGTTTTGAAAAGGACAGAGGATCAGGAGGAAGAGGTCCTAGCTGTGGATTAAACTGTAAGTCATCATCATAAATACAACTTGTTTCATCAGGGCTGTAATGAGGTTCTTCTGGGCAAAGTGAACTAAGATGCTGCTGAGGAGCTTTCTGGTTTTGCTGTCAGAAATTGAGTAATGTAGAGTTAGTGCTTCAGCTATTGACAAAAGAACAAATTTCTATGGAAATTACTTTTAATTTTGAGTAACTACAACTTAATGGCCACATTTTTTAAAAGATTGGCTAAATCAAAGAACACTAATGCTAGCACTAGCATCATTCATATAATTAAAGATAGAACAGCGAGTAGAGTTGGAAACCAACTTAGTCAATGAAAAAATAGTTGTACTTTTCCTTCTGTTATTGGACATAGTTTAAATAGGTCTGTGAAAGGGCCTATTTCTTGTTCATTTTCTGTTTTGTTTATTCATTTTTACTCTGTATTACTCCGTTCAAGTTGCTATAACAAATTACCATAGGCTTGGTGGCTTAAACAAGAAACATTTATTTCTTAGGTGCTTCTGGAGGCTGGAAGTCGAAGCAGGGTGCAGTATGGTGAGAGTCTAGTGATAACCCTCTTTTAAGTTACAGATTGCCAACTTCTCATATTCTCACTTGGCATAAAGAGGGCTCTTTATTCTAAGGGACGGATTTCTTGAGTCTTTTTAACAGGAACACTGATCTCATTCATGAAAGCCCTATCCATATGATCCAACTACCTTTCAAAGGCCTCACCTCCTATTCCCATCACATTGAGGGTTAGAATTTCCCCTCCCCTCCCCCTCCTCCTGTCTCCCTCCTCTCCTCTTCCTCCTCCTCTCTGCCTCTTCCTTTCTCCCTCCTCCTCTCTCCCTCCTCCTCTCTCCCTCCTCTTCTCTCCCTCCTCCTCTCTCCCTCCTCCTGTCTCCCTCCTCTCCTCTTCCTCCTCCTCTCTTCCTCCTCCTGTCTCCCTCCTCCTCTCTCCCTCTTCCCTTCCCCTCCTCCTATTTCTTTCCCTTCCTTTTTCTTCCCTTCTTTTTCTTTCTGTCCTTCTTTCCCTCCTGTCTATTTGCAGTTCTAGAGATTGAACTTGAACAAGAATCTCAAGCATGCTAGGCAAGTGCTCTACTATGACTGTTCCTCCAGTCCCAGGGTTTCAACCGAGGAGTTTTGGTGAGACACAGCATTCAATCTGTAACACTCCCTCTAAAGAGAAAACATACTTCATGTTAGTTTAATAAATCTAAACTAATTGTTTAAATCAAATTCTATGACAATTAATGAATATGAATGAATGAATAACGTGCACATACATTTAATTTCTCTCTTCCCTATATGAGAAATGAAGCATTAACCAACAAGATTTTGTCAGGGACAATTTGGCTTTGGAGGGCCACTCACCACTGAACTAAGATTTATTAGTCTCTAAGAAATTCTTTTTTGGTGGTACTAGGGACTGAACATACACTATGCAAGAGTTCTACCACTGAACTACCTCCCCTGCCCTTTTTACTGTATTTTTTATTTTGCAGTAGGATCTTACTAAGTTGTCTAGACTGACCTTGAACTTGTGATCCTCCTGCCTTGGCATTCTAAGTAGTGAAAATTATAAACATATGCCACTGTGCCTGGCTTGAGACAATTTTTATCTCTCATCTTGTTAAGAAGTCATAACCTGGGCTGGGGATTTAGCTCAGCGGCGTAAGCGCCTGCCTTGCAAGTGTGCGGTCGTGAGTTCGATCCCTGGTACCGATAAAAATGAAAAAGACAAAAAAAAAAAGTCATAACCTAAAGGAAAAAGAAAGAAAGAAAATACATGCAGATGTTTACAGTTTCATTACTGTATATAGTCTTTAAAAAACTGTACCAAGCAGAACCCAAGTGGTCATTGTGATGGTTAATTTTATATGTCAGCTTGTCCTGACTGTGGTGCCCAGTTATTTGATCAAATATTGATCTACTTGTTGCTATGAAGATGTTTTGAAAATATAATTAATATTTCTAATCAATTTACTTTAAGTATATTACTGTTGGTAGTGTGACTGGGTCTCATCCAGTCTGCTGAAGGCCTTAAGGTTAAAAACAGGTTTTCAGAAGAAAGATCTTAGCTAAAGACTGTAACATAAAAATCCTACCTCAGCTTCCAGCTTGCCAGCTGATCCTGCAAATTTCAGACTGGTTAATGCCCAGAATTGCCTTACCCAATTCCTTAAACCAGTCTCAACTTCTATATATATAAATGTATCTATCTAAATAGTATCTGTCCAAAATCAGGTATTTAAAAGGTAGAAAAAACCAAGTATCTATTCTGTGATAGTCATTTTGCTATGTTATTTGACCCTCATAATAATCATTCAGAGTATTGTAATCATTTCTGTCTCATGGATGAGGAAACTGCTTAAGTAAAACTTGGCCAAGGTCCTGTACTATGAATTGACAGAAGCAGGACTCCAATTTCACCCTCCTTGAATTGAGATCCCCCTACTTTCTGAGTAGGGCTTGAACTCCATCTATGGCTTTCCCATGGCTCACTGATCACAGAGGAAGGGGCTTCAGCTGAGCTCATAAAATACTGGAAATACCAAAGATTTCCCTAGTGAAGACAGACAAGTGTCCATCAATAATACCGGATACAGTCTAACACTGCTATAAGCATGTTGTTGCATTATTTGTTCCTATAGCAACTCTGAGAAGCACTGTTCATCTTCCATAAATTAGGAGACTCTGATAAATTAAGTGCTCCTAACTTTTAAGTAACAGAACAATGGCTCCTGCTCCTGTCTGTCTGCCCACCCAGTGCCCAGGTGGTATCTGCTACAGGATCTAGCTTTTCCTGAAGTTTTCCACAGTGTTTAGGCAAAGTTTGGCCTTGGGACCATCGCATTTCTTATTCACTACCCACCCAATCCCAGTCTAGTCTTTCCAACTCCCTTCTCCCTGATCCTGACTATAAAATTTATTTGTTTTGGATCTGAGCTGGAAAGTCATCTGATAGATAGTGCTGTTGTTGATTTGGGACTCATCTCTCATCGAAGAATACCTAGAAACATAACCTTAATCCAAAAAACTGAATGGTGGAATTTCAGCAGATAAGAAAACTCTGAGCAGGTGAGTAAGGAATTGTAGGCTGTATTATGTAATCACAGGAAGTAGATGGCGCCCTTGGGAGGGAATGGCAAAGGAGTTAAGCCATTTATGCTGGAAATTGCAATTTTTAAAATTTTTGCATGAAATTTATGTGTTACTTAGCTTAAAAGAACAAGAATTTGAAGAGAAAAATCAATGGTACATTGCAATCAGCATTCATGGAACATTTGCCATTGAAGGATTAATAAAGGGATAATTTGTAGAAGTGTGAGGAGGGTTAGGGAAACCAGTATGGGATGGTGACACATCCTAGGGCTGGCATTAGGGAGCCTGAAGAGGCAGGGGGGCGAACAGTTGTGGAACCACAAGAAAGGGGCTGAAGCTTTGAAGGTGACATGGACATGGTAGAAAAAATGACTTCAGCAGAGATTAGCACCAACCCTTTGTCACCCAACAGAGAGAAAACCAGGGAATGATACTTCCCTTCCTTCTCTTTGGATGCCTGCCCTTCCCACTCACAAGGATACCTCCCAAACACCCAAACTAAAGCTAGAGGGCAAAGGGACCTGTTGATGGCATCCATGGAGGAAAGAATCTCAGGACACAGCATATAGTAGAGAAAACAGAACAGGGGATATGCGCAGCAGTGCTAGAAACCAAGCACAATGGCCCTATGTGACAGGTAGGTGAACACAGGGTCAGCTTCATAAATAAAAATAACTGCCATCTGGGTAACATAATGGTTCTTAGAGTGTCTGAGTGATGGACTTACTGAAGAAGAAACACTCACCCTAATTGTGGGAGTACCAACCAGTAGGCTTGTGGCCTGGATGGAAGGAAAAGGGAGGACAGAAGAAAGTATTCTGTTTCTTCACTCCAGGCATCACCACTGCCTTTGGATGTCCATCTGCAGGCTCCAGTGCAGTCTTCACCTTCAGCCTGTCAGCACAGATCCTTCGGCTCCCTGGAACTGACACACAAGGGACTCCGCAGTGAGCTCCAGCCCTTCCACTTTTGATTGAACTTTTGAAGGCCTTTGGGTCTTCAGCATGCAAACAGGCTTTTTGCATTCTTACACACCTGACCCTGGTAGATCTATAAATCTCTTGTGTGTCTGTCTCTCAAATATGTAATATGTAATATATGTATATGTAAAATACATGTATTATACAGTGGACCCTCAAGTTACAACCAGCCTGACATTTGAACAACTTGGTTCTTGACCAGAATTTTAATTTTAACTTACAACCAAAGTGTTGAGTTATGCCTAAATGCTGGCTGCTTGTGCTTCTAGATGATCTGAGAGATACACTTAACCCTTAAAGAGTTCTGGAAGGAACATTACAACAGCCTTTCCTATATAGTGTTAATTGAGAAATCCTGGGCCAGTGTTGCTCTAAGGACACTGAGATCTGCCTGTATAGAGGAGAGAGACTTTGAAGACTGTGTAGCGGGCCCCAAGCCTTCAGTCAACAATTGGAACTGGCTTGTGGGAAAAGTTTGGAAGATGCTGGCTAGAGAAGCAGCCGTAGAATGCTGTGAGCTCAGCTTGATGGGAGATTCTGGTAAGAGCTCAGAAGACCAGATTATCGACAGGAAAGTAACTAGAAAAGACCAAGCTCAGGACATTTTGGTTGGTAAGAAGAACTGCTGAACTTCAGGCCAAGTGTGCTCTGGCAGAAAATATGTCTGCATTTTTCTCATATTCACAGAACTTGTGGAAGACTAAGGGCAGTGAACTAATTAATCTGATAATTTGTGGATTGTTAGAGACCAAGAATCAACCCTAGAAATGAGGGCAGAAGGAAGCAGTAGAACAAGAATCCAGTAGGTGACATAAAAATGCTGATTTGATTTTGGAGGTGTTACATCTATCAGTGACCTTTTTTGGATTTTAAGATTTTTTTTCTTCTTCCTTGACTTTTCATGCCTTTTCACATCTTCTCTTTTAATTATAAGATTAAATAATCCTCTCATTTGAATTAATGTGATCAATATATCTTTAATTTTTTTTAAACAAGGTCTTGCTATGTAGTTTTCTTTGGCCTTGAACTCACTTATGTAGCCTAGGCTGGCCTCAAACTCAGTCTCCTGCCTCAGCCTCCCAAGTGCTGGGATATACAGGCATGTACCACCATGCCCAGGAAACAATGTATCTTTAAATCTAAAATTTCAAGTGTTTCTTTTTTTGGGAATCTATGAAAAAATATTATCAAAAGACTTGTAGTTGGGGCTTACAAGGGAATAAATTTAATACAAGAATATAACTTATAGAGTTAATTTAAAATATTCACCAGAAGAGTCAAATGCAGAAGAGTACAAGACTGTTCACACACTTAGAGACCCAAAGAATCCAGCCAAGGCTCTAAATCCCATAGCGATGTCCTGCATGAGTCCATCTAAAGACCTAGAGCCCATGGCAATGTCCTCCACAAGTCCAGGTGGAAGCCTACAGCCCATGACAATGTCTTATGCAAATCTGACATAGATCTGCACTGGGAAGGCAAAGGTGAATAGTGAAAGCTAGAAAGTCTGCACCAGTTGGATGAAGGATTTGTGCCAGTAGACTGAGGGTTCTGCACTGAGGCCAGGAAGCAACGCTCAAGGTAAGGACCAGAGCTCCCCCGAAAAGAACTGCAGCCATCCTCAGCAACAGCAAGGACCTGAGCTCCTCTGATGATGAGAACAACTGAGTTCATATCTGGGAAACTAGCATGGCAAGCTTCTCCAGGAAAATCAACAGCACACCAGCAGCACACCCTCCAGCTCTGCTTTCATGCTTTTGGAAACAATCAGGTGGGCCTTCCACACCCAGCACCATGCTGATTCAATTCAACCGGGGGTAGGGGGTGGTGGTGGAGGGGGTTACTGTTGGGAGCCGCGGCCGACACCGGTCGCTTTACTTGGCGGACGTGAGGCCTGTAGAAAGGAGCAAGGCCTGAGCTAAATTACCCCTCCCATCGAGTGAGCCAAGTTGGCGCCTGCTTCTTGCCCCCTGATTGCCCTGGTGACGTAAACAGCCCGCGCAATAGACGTCTACCCAGCAACTAATGACGATGACCAATCAGCTCACATGCCTGCTGTTGCCCTATTGGACAATGAGTCCGTATATATGTGTGTGACCCACGCTGCTAAGGGAGAGATAGAGAAAGTCCACCGGCGAGAAAGGGCTGGTGGCAGAGCAGAGGCCTCGCGGGGCCCACGCGGAGACAAATAAAGACAAGGTTGCACACCGTCGGAATCTGTCGTGTGTTTTTCCTGCCGGCCGGGAGCGACACCGACATCTGGTGGCCCGTACGGGGAACTGATCAACCCCGAGACATGGCGGTGGACTGCATTCTCCAGTACGGTGCTGCAGGACAGGTGAGTAGAGGATAAACCTGGGCCCTGGGTGGCGCGCACCTACAGGGTTTGTAGACTCCTCTCAGGCTCACGCGTAAGTGGCGGATTCCTTGGGCCTCACGCGGTGAGTAACATATTAAAAAAAAAAATGGGAAACATGCTAAGTAGCGGCACTAAGAGTGAGGGTAGTTACGGGGGGAGCTCTCAAGAACTTGTAGAAGTACGCGAGGTGTTTGAACAGGCACAGTCAAGGAGCTCCCGAGAGGGGTCTGTCAAGGAGGACAAAGATACAGAAGAGGAAGACAGGGCTCAAGCCTCGGAGTCGTCAGACTCCGAGGAAGAGGGAGACTTGAATGACGGGGAGGCCAGAAGGGCCGACTGCCGGGAGGCTAAGCCAAGTGATAGGGAGGCACACGGCTCTTTCGCCGCGTTGCGCCGAGAACTGCGCTCCGCTCAACTAGGCTTACGGAAAAGCAGAGAGCTTCTGAGCGCCCCCTGGCAGGGGAGGGAGACAGAACCTTCTGCTCCGCCCTGGAACTCGTTCCCGGAAGTGGTCCCTCGCCGCGAGGCCGCCGCCTGGGACTTCCCCCCTCTTCAGCCAGTACAGGAAGTAATGCCTAGGCCGCCATTTTCTACCCAACCACGGCTGCCATCTTATGATGCTCCGTCGCCGGCGGGACGTTATTTCCACAGACAGCTGTGGCGTGGGGGTCGTGTGTCTAATGAAGACCACCCGTTCCCAGGGATAGATAGCGGCCCCTATGGGATATATCCTGTACAAATGGCCCTAGGCCAGGGACGTAATGTGTGGGAACCCTTTGAGATAAAACAGATCAGAGAGCTTAAGAGTGCTGTCACTTCCTTCGGTCCTACTGCACCCTATACCATAGCTATGCTAAAAAACTTGTCTTCTGGGCCGCTCACCCCAGCGGACTGGACCCAGTTGACAAAAGCATGTCTACCCTCAGGCAGCTACTTAGACTGGCGAGCATGGTACGCAGAGTTCTCTGCCGAGCAGGCTAAGAGAAACGCCGGTCGAGGAAACAGGTGCTGGGGACTTAGCTCAGCGGCATAAGCGCCTGCCTTGTAAGCAGGCAATCGCGAGTTCGATCTCTGGTACCGATAAAAAAAAAAAAACAAAAAAAAAAAACAAAAAAGACCAAAAAAAAAAAAAAAGGGGGGGAGTAAGCCAAGGCCTGCCTCCAAAGGCGCGGTTATCTATGGCATTATTCACATACAATTTTTTAAACTTAAACAGTGAAAATTGCTCCCCAGCTATGGCACATTGTACCCCATCCCCAAAAAATAAAGGATGGGTTAAATGGAAGGATGTCCTGACAGGACAATGGATGGGCCCGGATCCGGTAATCAGCTGGAACCGAGGCGCAGTTTGTGTTTTTCCGCAGGAACCGGGACGAGAACCACTGTGGGTCCCAGAGAGGTTGACGCATGCGACAAGTCCCTCGACTAAAGATCAGGCCTGTTCCACCAGAGGCCAACCGCAGACCCAACAACAAGATGAGCCCTAAAAGAACTGCAGGACAATCCCTTTTGGGGAGCCTGGAATGGCTTGCTCCCCTATGTTTTACCATTGTTAGGTCCCCTGTGCTCCTTGCTTCTGCTCTTACTTGTAGGACCATTCTTGCTCCGATGGGTTACACCATTTATTAATGGGCGCCTTGCGGCGGCCCGGCGTCAAGTACGCCTGGTTGCCCATGAGGCCCTGGCAGCAGCCCGTGATGGGCACAATGACCCCCAGGCCTACGCATGGTTCGCTCGGTTGGCCTACGACCGAGTCTAGATGTGGTGGGTCTCCTGCACTCCTTCCCTATTGACACCACACAGCAGGGTAGGTGAGTCAATGACGGGTAAGAGCGTGCCTCCCCAGCACGACTCGACCTAAGCCAGGCCCTACCCCATACTGCACGAAAGCCGCTGGATTACTAGAATCTGCCCAGATCTAGATGTCTCTCCGAGGGGATCGCACGGAGGGGCATGAGTGCATGCCTATGTGCATCCAGGTTCCGTCCAGTTCACTCCTGGCCCTGGAAAAAGGACGAGGGTCTCAAGGCCTTGGCGGACCCGGGGACGGCCGACCAGGGTCCAAGCCAAGGGCTTACGGTGGGCCTCAACACAGGGCATAAGCCTCTGCACTCAATCCAGGGCGGGCTGCGATGCATACATTCATTCAAAATAAATAAAATAGGGGGAGATGTTGGGAGCCGCGGCCGACACCGGTCGCTTTACTTGGCGGACGTGAGGCCTGTAGAAAGGAGCAAGGCCTGAGCTAAATTACCCCTCCCATCGAGTGAGCCAAGTTGGCGCCTGCTTCTTGCCCCCTGATTGCCCTGGTGACGTAAACAGCCCGCGCAATAGACGTCTACCCAGCAACTAATGACGATGACCAATCAGCTCACATGCCTGCTGTTGCCCTATTGGACAATGAGTCCGTATATATGTGTGTGACCCACGCTGCTAAGGGAGAGATAGAGAAAGTCCACCGGCGAGAAAGGGCTGGTGGCAGAGCAGAGGCCTCGCGGGGCCCACGCGGAGACAAATAAAGACAAGGTTGCACACCGTCAGAATCTGTCGTGTGTTTTTCCTGCCGGCCGGGAGCGACACCGACAT